AAAAAAAAAATACTATTTTACTTCTAAAGATGAAATAAAAAATAAACTAAAGTGCGATGAGTGATATTTACTTTCAGCAAGTCTCCGCTGTTCAATGATGCGCAAACACAATACATAGATATTACATGAACTAACAAGTAGAGACTTGTAAAACATAGGTAATAATATGCAGCAAGAAACCTGAAAATTTCTCTCTTAGGTGAGTCTTCAAGATGTAACTTCTCGTATAATAAATAAAAGAAAGAAAACCTGACATGGTAAATTATTATTGAAATGCGAGATTTCCCGGGAAAATAAAATTTCCCGGGATTTTTTTCGTAGGGAATAAACGGCGAGAATCCCGGGTAAACGGGATTCCGGGATCCCGGAAAAGAAACCTTAGTAGATATGTTCTATATCTACTGAAGATAACGGACAATATTTCAACCTTGGAAGATGATGAACTGGGAATGCACTTTCAGTTTTGCATTTGCCAAAATATCAGCCACAATAAACGAGCATTTTTATCCCAGTCTCTTTCGAAGCACCGCTTTCAACTCTTTCTTCACTTTTTTTGCGGCAGTGCGTGATGCATAGCAAAGTTTCTGCTTTGCTCTGTTGAGGAGATCAGTTTGTTCGTATATAGGTTTACCATTACTTTCGAGAGTGGTAATAGTATCTGCAATAAATGTGAAATAACACTTGATATACATCAACTTGTTCCGAACATAATTGTCATTCAAAATTTTCTTGGTTTTAGTTACACAAGCAGCATAGTCTGCTGAAGTGGCCAGAAGTTTTTTGATATCGAAGAAATGTTCACTGTAGTAGTTAGTAGAAAATCTTAGCCATGTATATGCCAAGGAAAAAAATAGGCATTTTCCTAAAATCTGCTGTCTATCCCTAGTCATAATAGGCCCTTACAGGTCTATTATGGCTAGCGATTTAGAATGTATCAATAATTGCGATATTGAAAATTTATTTTAAAATAGTTTTGGCTGGAGACCGTATAATGAAAAAGAAAACATTATTAAAAGAGAAAGACCAATGCCTAAATTAAATATAAATACGTCGACAAAAAACTTTGTACGACATTTTCGCGATAAAATTTATTAAGACGTAAAATGGCTCTGCGGATGGATAAAAATGCAAAAATTGTTTCGTCGATCTTGCCTATTATTTTCGAATGAAATTAGTGTGTGGAATAAAATTGGCTTTGGCGATTTAAATAATTTTAATAAAGCTGGCAAAAGACACGAAAATCGTAAATCTCGCATCGATTCTTTCGTAAAATTGAAGCAATTTGGAAATCAAAATAGAATAGAATTTAACACTAGTACACGATATAAAATAAATATTAAAAATTATAACGAGATAGTTACGGCTAATAGATATATTATATTTAAATTAGTAGACGTTATCGAAGCGAGAATTGGCGTTTGGCGTAGAGAATCTATTAAATTTAATATAACGGAGTTAATTATATCGAACTTGCTTATTTATTAAGTGCGTTAGAGAGTCTATTCATTAAAAATACATTTAGAGGAGTCTACGATTTTTACTGGCATATCGAACGAACGAATACGAATGGACTTTAGACCACGCTGACTGACTGCCCCTGGAAGTCGGCTTCTTACAGAAACACAGCTTCCCTATCATCAAATGTCATGGCACGCCCCTGATTTCGACAGGTAGGCTATATTATATAAAAACACGTGCGTATTCGAATGCAGCGTTGTGTCAAAATTTCAAAGGAATCGGTAGGAACAAACAAACATTACATTTTTATTTATATAAACAGATAGAAGATGATCTGCTTTAGTTCATTCTCACAGAAAAGCAAACTTAGGGCGTCGTACTCGTAGCGTCATCTGTTGGACATAAAAGTCTTAACCTAGATTATATATTTTAATTTATACGAATGTTTAACGGAATAATATACAGCCTATGTTCACCCTAAAGTCCCATTCTAAATATTGTTGAAAGAATTTTTGAAATCGGATGAGTAGTTTCGGAGATTACCGCCTACATCGAAACTTACTTACAAACATTACCTTTTTATAATATTAGTATAGATATTTATATATGAATTATGTTATAATAAGAGAAGTGAATTCATTTGTAAATTCTAAATTTTATGAAAAAATTTGATAGAGAATCCTTGTGTTTAACTTTTGGAGATTTCTTCAAAATTACTAAAAAGTTTTCTAGTAAAAGTAAGTTATTAAGAATTAAGAAATAGCTACTGCTCACAAAAGATGCTTCGAATTCGTTCCTTTTTACCTTCTACTGATTTCTTGACTGTAATTTGAGTTCCCTTCTTCCGAAATTTTTTCTTTTTTCTTTACTCTTACTCTTTACAAGGGTTAAATTCCATTCGACTTTTCTGCAAAACCTTCTGCAACGTAAAAAAGCAATAGAAATAGTATTCGTCCACACTCTGACCAAATGCTTTTAGCCATTGTAGCAAAAAATTTTCTAAAGAGTAGCCAATTTAAAAAATTCCCTTTTAATACCATAAGATTTGAATATAAAATCAGAAAATCGGATCAGTTAGCCAAGATACACTATAAATAGAGCTTTACATTTTTAAAATGGCCTCACCAGTTTTTGATGGGATCTCATTAAGTGGCCAAATGCCTTAGTCTAGAGCTCTACACATGTGTTAATCTGCCAGTCTTGCCATTCCAAAACTTAGCCGTATTTCATGATATAAAAGATAAAAATTAGTAGTCCACGGTAAGATGAAACCCGCAAACGTGTTACTGTGAAAGCAAAGTCATATTGACCAGATTAAACTTGTTCTTGGTTTATCCTTCTCTTATAACATCGATCAAAACGAACGACTTAAAATGCTCATATCACAGTTCAAACAGCATTTTCACTTTGAATTTCGAACTAACCGAATTCCTTTATGTGTAAATCTGTAAATCTTCGGCTTGGAGAAAAGTACAGTTACGAAATAACGGAATTTCGAACTGTCCGAGTTCGAATTAACGAGGATTCACTATATGTCTGTATGAATAAATGTATCTTATAATTTTGATTATACGATAATACTCGTGTTAAATAAGTCAAAACATATAATGTTCAATAGATATTACAATCAATTAAACAGGGTCATGTTAGAAACGTTTCGAGTACATTCATTTTTGTATAATAAGTCGTTTAAAAGGTTTTAATTTTAATATAATTTCTATGAGAAACCTGAATATAATAAATTGTATTATATAAAATTTATATACAAATCTCAGGTTAAATAAAATTTAGTGCATTACATTAATAGAAAGGAAAATAATGAATTATATTTCAATTTACTTGAGTAAATATCAATCTAAAAGGAACAAATATTTGTATATTTGGATATAATAATATATCTATATCTATAACTATATCTATATCTATCTATATATATATAAATGGACATGTATGTCCCTATATTTCACTTTTCCGCCAAAACT